CCTAAATATATAATAATAAACTAAAATCCGTAAAAATCAAAAGAATCAAAAATATTAAATTCTTATTTTGATTTTTTATTTGTACGATTGCTACGAGTATTAACTCGTTTTGTCGGTGATGATGATGATGATGATGATCCTGGATGGTTGTTACCATTACGATTACTACCATTGCCACTTCCATTATTATTACTATTACTGCTACTACTACCATGACCAGTTATCCTTTTTCTTATATTTAATTTTTTAGATAACCAAGTTAAACGGTTACCGTTTCTCATCACTTCCAACTCTCTAATTGCTTGATCGATCCCTACAGATCCAGATCTCGATCGATCTTGTAATTCTTTCACGATTTTCTTTCGTGAAAGCAAAGTTTCTTTATTATCATTGGCCCACCTCATATCATAAGTCTCCAATGATTTTATAATGGATGGATAGCCATCTATACCTGACATCCACTCATTCCAGACATCTGCAACACATTCTAATGTGTCCAAGTCTGGAAGAATATGATACGTTATTTCTGACGATGATGAAAGCGATAATCATAGTGATTATATTGATGATAACATTGATGATGATAATAATGATGAGACAGAGGATTTAGAAATTCGCAATATTATGGATTTAGAAAATAATTTTTTTTTGGAAGACAATGATAAAATGGATGAGGATATAGAATTGGAAAATCATAAAGATTACAATGATGATGATGATGATTATGATCCATTAGAATTAGTTCATGAATCAATGAACAGGACTTTATTTTCAGAAATAGTGAATGAAGAAGCATTTCAACATTCAGAAAAAAATCAACAATTATCAGATGATTCTACAGATTTTGAAGAAAGTCATGAAACCAGCAATAGATGTGAAGCAGCAATTCCTACTAAAACCTTTGCGTACAAAAATTAAATATCCAACTAAGAAACATGATTTACGATGTAAAAAAAATGTTTAAAATTAAATTTTTGTTTTAATTAAACTAAATAAAATTGAATTTATATTTTTGTCATCTTTATCATAATTTGACTTTTGACTTTATCCTTTGTCACTTTTCGTCACGCTTCATCACATGTGCCCCATTTGACGAAATGCTTTTTACATTCCAAATATTTTCGTCATCCAACCTTGCTCCTTTGTGAAGCTCTTCCAGTGGAACATTATCCCCAGAACCATGCAGCTGTAATTTGAGCACATGAAACCTAGCAACTAAATCTTCAAAATGTTGCCAGTATTGGTATCCTGGCGGAACAGTCAGTTCATCCATACTTTGACATTCTCGATAGTATTGGAAATTCCAATTGCTAAAAATAGGATCAACTGACTTGTTCACCATTATCCAAATCCATACGTAAGGACAAAACAAACCGTCCTCGATCAGTTTCTCCCTCATCATTCATAAACTGAACCAGTCCCAATTTTGAGAATTCCGCAATTCTGATTTCAGGGACGATGAAATTCTCATGTATAGTTTTCTGTGTTAATATTATCCAAAGGACTGGTTGTGAGTAGATGCTCTTACAAACCCATTCACTATAACGGTCAACAAGTTTCACACATATCTCGTTCATTAATTTTGCAAAGTTGCAATTATCCAAGTCTTTACCTTTGATGGCTATCTCAAGTGCCTCCGAGCTCTACCATGCCCGCCCATGTCGTTAACAAGCATATTTAGAAGATGTTTGTTTGCAAAAAATGGTTTTCTTGTCCTTGCGGAGGTTTTAAGAATGTATAGAAGATAGATACGTTTTTGATGTGAATATGCACAACTTCGTGGAAAGGGCAACTGAAAGTTGCTGTACAACAATTAATGACAAACGGGCCCATATAAGCAAGAAGAGATAACTCAATCGTACAAGAATAGAATGAGGAGGGCTTATCCTTTCCATCATTTGGTGTTATCATTGCCGTTTGCAATCCGTTGATAATAATAAATTTTCCTCTTCCGGCACTAGA